GTGTCGCTAGACAGCATGCCTATAGGAAATAAATACCAATAATTGTCCTTCGATTTGCATAAATGCACCATGTTCATTAGATATCATGCCTATAGGATTTTAATAATTTAATTCGCTATTGAACCTAGAAAACATGCCTATATGATCTAAATATAAAAAATTGGTTCCTATCGCCAATCTTTAGAAATCCTGCCTATAGGGTATTACTACTCGCTCTAAAGTGATGATATGGACTCTTCAAACACTATTTATTGCTTAGCCACGCCACTATTAGAAAGCATGAGTAATTCAGAGCATTTCCAATAATTTTTAGTGTCCCTTACTGTGTAAACCACTTAGAGATCATGCCAATAGGTTTTATTAACTTATAATCTGTAATCTCAATAAACAACTTAGCAGTATCAGATACTCTCAAACTGATAATTTAGAAATCATAGGTCTAAAATGGCGCCCTACATCTGAAACTGCTTGCATATTTGGATCAGATCATATTGAAATCATGCCTATAGAGCTTAATGACTTCAATCTTCCTCAATATTGAAACTGTCTAATGCCTAACGTATAAATCTGTTTGCGTGCATTTGTTGTCTAATTACGGAGGTTAACTTGAGCCTTTAACTGTCCTTAAGGGCAGTCCTATTTATTTTGAATTGTTGCCTAGTTTTGACATTTTCTGAGCAGCCTAAGCAAAGTCTAAAACTACCCAAAATAGAGGTCAAATGCCTCATGGATCATAGGTATGGGACGGGTAGTGCACGCATAAGGTACGACTTATAATTGAACTAGTGCGCTTTAGGTAATAACTTAAAGATAGTAATCAGGTAGCAGGAGATGATAGTTTGTGCCCGCTGAATAATACGAGTAACACCCCATCTTGAGGGAGTTACGAAGTATTATTTATGTTGCACGGGGTGATCCTTTAGGATAAAAAACTTAGGACCCCCATCTTATTCCCCTTTTATATTAGAATCAAGTGTTTGTATTTCCTCAAAGCCTTTTAATAATAAAATTTCTCAAACTTATTGCTTTCTCTATCTTTATTTATCCGACTAATTCATATAATTCAAGTTCAGTCGGGACCCACAGTTGTGGACCTCGAAGAGTGCCTAACACCTTCTCTTGGAGGTAATTTCGAGTCCTTACCCGATCTCTGGTGATGCAAACTAGTCGAACCCGAGTCATATGCAAATAGGTGCCATACGCACCTTAAACCGTTAGGTGGCGACTCTCCTCTTTTAATGCCTCCTTAAAATAGTTGTCATATGTCGAAACCTGATTTCGCGCGAGAAAATGGGGGGCGACAGTTGTTGTGTACTCATACTACGCTTTTGCACATCTTTTTGTGCATACCCAGGTATGTCTATTCGTGCCGTACGTTAGTGATCGGCTGTTAGCTTCTTTATGGAGACTTTAAGGTGTACTTGCTCGGTATCCGCAGGCCTCGGAGTCACCTTCCTTTATCTTTACTTCCTGTTGTATTTTTATTTAGACAGCGATGTAGTAGACATTTTAGTTTACTCTGTAGAGATTATAACTCAGTTCCACCGGTTTTGGGAATTGTGTTGTTGAGATTCTATTTCGGAAGACTATATGAGTTTATCGGACTTGCTTTAGTATTTTTGTCAATTATTTTTGTCAAGTTATTATTAAATGTTACGCTTACCTAGTCTTAGAGACTAGGTGCCCTCACGACATCCTAAGGAGGGAAATTGGGGTCGTGACAATACGCCCAAGTCCAAAATCACCATCCGGACCTAACGGAACCATCAAAACTCCGATCCAAGATCAAATACACAAAAGTCAAACTTGGTTCATTCCTCCAATTTAAAGCTTCTAACATGACCTTCATTCTTCCAAATCAATCTTTTATCACCTGAAAATCAAAACCGACGATTCGCACATATCATAATACATCATACGAAACCACTCAAGACTTCAAACAGCTGAATGGAATGCAAATACTCAAAACGACCGGTTGGGTTGTTACAATAATGTATAACTGAAATAATTTAATAGCTAATACAAATTTTAATTTTTTATTTCGTCCAAAATATATGTTATTTTATTATTTTGTATAAAATGTATCAATATTTGTAATATTTCTACATTATATGGAATAAGCAATTAGACCTTTCTTCTATTTTATTTTCAATATAAAGTTTTGATTTTTATATTTTTACGATGTTGATTGTTTAATATTATTTGATTTTGATTTTATTAAGATTTTAACTACATGGTATTATCTATTGTACTTTTTTCATCATAATTAAAAAATAACTTTCTCATCTCAAAATTAAATAAGTCTTATCATTCTATATTTTTTTACTTTTCCTCAAGGCGCCACTTAGCTTCATATCAAGCTTGACTACTATAATTTTGATAAACTTTCGACAACTTGTAATATATTATCTTCATATCAAGCTTGACTGCCACTTGGCTTCACTTGCAAGTTGCTTAATTCTTCAATTGTCTAAATTTACCAATAATATATTGAGTATTATTTACTTACTTTTTTTATTTATTAGTATTTTATCTATAATCTATAACTGAAATAATTTCATAGTTAATGCTAATTTTAATTTTTTATTTCATCCAAAATATATGTTCTTTTATTATTTTGTATAAAATGTATCAATTTTTTTAATATTTTTTTTTGCATTATATGGAATTAGCAATTAGACCTTTCTTCTATTTTATTTTTAAGATAAAGTTTTGATTTTTTATATTTTTACGATGTTGATTGTTTAATATTATTTGATTTTATTAAGATTTTAACTACGTGGTATTATCTATTGTACTTTTTTCGTCATAATTAAAAAATCACTTTCTCATATCAAAATTAAATAAGTCTTATCATTCTATATTTTTTTACTTTTTCTCAATGTGCCACTTGTCTTCATATCAAAGCTTTACTACCATCATTTTAATATAATTTCGACAACTTTTAATATATTATCTTCATATCAGGCTTGACTGCCATTTGGCTTCACTTGCAAGTTGCTTAATTCTTCAATTGTCTAAATTTACTAATAATATATTGAGTATTATTTACTTACTTTCTTTTATTTCGTAAATTTAGTATTTTATCTATAATTTATAACTGAAATAATTTCATAGTTAGTACTAATTTTAATTTTTTTTATTTTGTCCAAAATATACGTTCTTTTATTATTTTGTATAATATGTATCCATATTTTTAATATTATTTTCTACATTAAATTGAATAAGCAATTAGACCTTTCTTATATTTTATTTTCAATATAAAAAATTTATTTTTATATTTTTACGATGTTGCTCGTAATTATTTTATTATTATATATTTTTTATTTTGTGTGAATTAATAATGACCCCCGAGACCAATATAAATAGGGGAAGAGAGAAGAATTTTATTTTATCTTTTAATTAATTCAAATATTTTTGTCTCTCGATTCAAATTTATAAGTCTTATCCCAATTCAAATATATAAAAAAAAATGTCGAAATGATATAATCTAATAAGAATATTAAAGATTGTGCATTTTAGCTTTCAATTTCAAATACACCTTTAGCATTACAAATTGTCTATATAAATCTATAATGTAGATACATTGGATCAGTGATCGATTTCTAGGTTTCGTCATAAACCTAATTGGTTATTTCCAATTACGTAAATCACTAGTTCAAACCGTAGTCAAAGATAGGGCATTTCCCATTTTTATAGAAACTTTTGTACCAGAAACAATGGTATCTCCAATTATAGCCCTCTGGGTGTAAAATATATCTCTTCTCACCATTCCCATAGTATATGAGACAAATGTATGCATTTCGATTAGGGTCGCATTCTATGGTTACGATTCTACCATATTCATTTAGTCGAAAATCGATTTTACGGTATAGACGCTTATGGCCTCCCCCTCTATGCCTTGCGGTAATGATTCCTCTAGCATTACGACCTTTACCACAATGATGTTATCCATAGATCAAATTATTTCGTGGATTGGATTTCACTTGACTGTCTACGGTTCCATTGCGTATGCTCGGGGTAGAAGTTTTGTATAAATGTATCTGCGAGGAAGGAAGCTACAGAGCAGCAGATAAGGAAGAGATTTAGGCAACTTAATTGACTTACCAGACTCTAAAGAAAGGGTACCACTTATTTGGAAACTAGAAACTTGCTGATTTCCAAGAGAAACTCGATGCTACTTTAACACAAGGGCCGGTGTCCATCATTAAAAGTGGCATCTCTGTTTGCGCACATTGGAGAAAGTGCTCTAAAATTTTTAGCATCTTTTAAATCGTAAATAAAATATACCGAAACTTTTTAGCTTTCAGAATGCTCTTATGTGTAGGATTCAATTCCAGTAGAAAGAGCTTCTTCAATAATTTCAATTCCTGTAAAGCCTAGAAGTACTCTTTCTCTGGTGGACCCACACTCTTCCTTATTAGGCTTCAGAGTTCATCCCAGATCCATGCCTATCTACACTGATAATTCATGAATCAATCCCAATCTCTAAGTTAACAAGGACCTTTAAAGTATGAAATAACATTTTCTCTATATGACACTTGGCTTGACCTCATGTTTCACTATCATTCTTTTAATATAATTATGAAGTTATATTATGTGTTGGCAACTTTTCAATTAAAAATAGAATAAGTTTCAAATAAATAATTTTTAATATATAAAAATTATTGTTTTCGTAAAAAAAAAAAGTTAAATATGTTTTAATTCAAATTTAAAAAGACTAACTAATTATTAACAATAAATAATGCATAATTTAATTTTGAAAAAAATTTAAACTCAAAAAGATTATTTATTAGTTAATTTAACTAACTTTGTCCTAAATGCTTATTGTGAGACTGCCACTTGGGTTAATGTTGAGGCTTTCTCCTCTCCTTTTAATAATAATGTAGACATAGATGATTGATTCCATCAATCGTAGAATAGGCAAACCTTCGCTACCTTCCAGGATCTGTGATTTCTTTAGATTTAATCTATATATTATAAGTATTGAGTGCATATACAAGATAGATAGGAGTAATAAAATAGTGAGTGTTGTTTAGAGGACTAACCGCAATCTTCGCAGAGCCAAGAAAAATGGCCCTCCAATTCTACTCCCTTTTCAAAAGAAGAGACAAGAGGCAACATTGCAGAGAAAAGTACGCATGCTTCCGTTTTATCAGTGGATACACCGAAAACAAAATCTTGAATATCTGATTCGTTCTTTCTTTCTATCTTTTTTTTTTACTTCCCATTAAGATAAATGTTTATTTTTGGAAAATGAAACCATGTTCTTAATTGTGAAGGGAGACAAAGAAAGCAGGCAGCACAAGGATTACAAGAATTCCGATGGATGAGGATGATGGTTTTGAGGATGCAGGGACAGGGACACCTTTATCTGCAATAGCTGAGGCATTTGAGGAGCTTTCATCATGCTTAAAGTCAAACGGCTACGATGATCTTAGGCTGAAGCCTTTTTGTGATGCTTGTTCCCTTGTTTCTGTCCTGTTTGGATGCCTTGGGATCGCTTTTAAATTTGCAGAGCTTGAATATGTCTCCAAAGTTAGTTCTTCTCACTTTCCTTCTTCTAAATTTTCACCCATTGTTTGTCACATTTCGAAAAGAAAAAAGAGGATGAGTTAGTATGGAACCTAGGTCGTTTCGAGAATCCCAAATAGGTTGTGGAGATGTATTATTGAGACATGCTAGAATATTGGGGCTATTATTTAGATACAAATATGACATAAAATTTGTTGGATTACAATATAGCGAAACTAGGAATAAACTGTTAAGAAATCAATTTAAAGGAATTTGCATATCTTCTATTTCCGAGGATGTTTATTTCATTTTCCCCTTAAAACATCATAAAGAAAATAAGAGGAGTCTTTTAGCAGATTGAAAACTAAATGGTATCCCTTGGACTGGCTCCACGATAGTTATCCAGTGGTAATGTTTATATGCTCATGTTTTATTCAACACCATAAATGCTTAAGACCTAGATTTTACATCACACTGTAATGAGAATTGGCATTCTACCTGAGCGGTCTGACTATAATAATTTTTAAATCAAATGTGGAATATGCCATAACTTCCCTGAGAGATTGCAAAAGAAAAGCCAAATATATTATGATATATTGCTCTGTTGCATTTATGTTTATTTTTCTGGGTCTCTTTCAGAACATAAATATTGTTAAGAACCCTACGGCATGAAAGCAAAAATGTTTGTGATGGTGAACCCGATAAATAAGAGAAAACTAGGAATACCTCCTCTCTTGTTAGCCTTTTAGAATAATTGATAACAATGTTGTCGCAGCCAGCTCATGCGCACCTTAACTGATCCGTTGTGTATATGCTTCTTCCTAGTAGCACATATATTGGGTAATTATGTTCACATACTTAGACAGATGGAAGAATTCATCTGGTGTCACCTATTTTTGGACATAAACCTTGGTTTTCAGGGTTATTACTCCACCTTTTAGACTAGAAAGAAAATTGTATGAAGCTGCTCTAAGAAAATTAGTGGTCACGAGCTACAAATAAAACCAGTAGTTTGGATTTGTTGATTTTTGTAACAACACTGGAATTTATTCGGTATGAAGAACATAGTTATTTTTGTGAGAGATTAAACATTAGAGAGGAACAGTATAGAATATCAACTTATTCTTGTGCTAGTCATAGTAATGGCCCCATGTCATGGCTATTCTGAAAGGGATATCTTTGACTGTTACGTAGTTCGAACTTTATTCTACACTGCTCGTGTCTCGAGTCTAACAGGTCAACTTAATTCTCTTCAGTTTTCAGGAAGCAATTATTGGATGATTAGTTATATTTCTAAGATGTTAACTTAAATAAAATAAAATGTTCTTTTTCCGATAAAAATATTCCAGGAAAATTGTGGAGGCATTGTGCAAAACATCTTGATGTAAGTGTACATACCGTGATATCTAATTCATATGAAAATTTTACTCTCATTTGAGATATAAAGACAAATGCGCAACTACTCCACAAGTAGGATCTATCTGCGCCTGTAGTTCTTAATGAATTTGGCAAAGATTACATTAATTTGTCAGCTGATTGGAAGTTGAGAATGGTGATTGGTTGGTAGAAACTCACAGGAGAGAAGTATGATAACGTACCCCTCAAGTGTATATCGCATTGTGACCATAGTCATCTTAATACTATTCAGAATGTACTAACAAAACAAAGTCATAACAAGCTGATCTTGCTCTTTTGATATTTTACTCCATGTAGCAGATCTAATGACATAAATTTATAGGCATTGCTACAAGTAGGGGTGGCAAACGAACGGGTTGGATATGGGTCGGGTCGAAAACGATTAATGCAAAAACGGATAAATTATCTGACCTGACTCATATTTAATACGGATAAAAAATTGGTTAACCGAAGGATAATATGGATATCAATATTATCCATGACTTCTTGAATATGATCATTTTTGGGAGAATTCTTAGTCTCCCAAACTTGAGGAACTCCAATTTGAGGCTTTATAAATACAAAAGTTAAACTCATTATTTATTTAGTTGTTATCTATTTTCTAAATGGATAATATGATTCTTATCCATATTTGACCCGTTTTCAAAAAGTTCATTATCCAACCCATTTTTAGTGGATAATACAGGTGAATAACTGTTTTCTTTTAATATTTTGCCACCACTAGCTACAAGTCTGTTGTCTTTAAAGCATTCAACTAACTTTGCTCTACGCTTCTACCCTTGACTATGCGGACTTACTTTTGCTTGTAGCTATCATCAAAAGATTCAAAATGGTTCTGCTCTGTTTTCTGGTGTTGATGCCTTTTTGCTGAAAGTATTTTCTTTTCTATCTTACTTAACAATTATTTCCCTCACTGCTCAAAGATGAATTGATTTTCAAATCCCTTCCTAGCTCCCCCTTTTCACCCAAGACCTTTGGTTTTGGCCTGATCTCGGATTACGTTCTTCTTAAGCATATTGTTTGACAGTTAACTTGTTCGCTGCCTAGTGCATGAACATTATTTTCAAAGGCTTAAAGCCATGAGTTCATAAATCAGTTGCATCCTTTTTGGTCTTTTACACAATAAGTTTATTCAAGCTTTATGCCATTGAAGAGCCATGACTAAGCTATTACTACTCTTTTCGGGTCTTCTCGTTGTAGAGGTTCAATAATATGTTAAAATGCTTCTTGTTAAAGGATATATGTGACGTTAAGAGAACCTCTAGTTTTAGAGAGCCCTAAATTACCTTAAAAGAAAACAAAATTGTTTAGTCTTGGAATAAATGGACCTGAATATAGCATAATAGATGGAGTAGAAAGGATTTATATAGTCGGACCTCAACTAATTAGGAAATGAGTCGTAGTAAATTGATTAATTTGTTGTTGGGACAGTTTCTCACCACCATTAGGCGATTACATTCCTTTTATGCAGTATGAGATTTTGTTTTCTTCTGGTAGTTTTCCTTAATTCATTCTATGTAACTTTTTCGTTCTGGTATATACCAGTATCGATCCACCATACCTTTTTGTTTAAGCATGAATGTCACTTTCAGGTACGTGATCTTGCAGAAGCATCAGAAGTATTTGGAAGTTTGAACAGTATCCTTGATTCTGATGTTAGAAGCGATACAGTTAGAACACCAGGAAGCCTTTCCCGCAATTTGCGCAGAGTTCGCCAGGGTCTAGACCTGATCAGAGCCTTGTTTCAGAATTTTCTTTCAACCTAGTACGTATTTTACCTTCTTTTTATAGAAATGATATTCCTCTTGCTTTTGCATAAATTTTGGCATAATCCAGTTGTGTGTTGTCTTTTCTTTTCCTTTCAGTTTGTTCTTATTTTATGGAATATGTCCAATTATTGTTTTTATTTACTTTTACACTAGTTTATGCACTCAATTCTTACTAGAAAAGAAGAAGAAGAAGATGGATTTACCATTGTTTCAAATTCAACAGCATACTTATGCATAACAGTAGAGCTGGATTCAGACAGATGCGGATCTAGAATTTTTACTAATCATGTCCACACCTCACATATTCCAAAGTACATGGATGACACCTCTAAACATTGTATCTTCCAATTTACATCAATGTATTCATACTCTAATACATATACTAACTTAATATTCTAGTTCATGAACTAATGTAGACAAATGTAAACAAATGTGAACAAATGAAAAACAAGTTTATTATTTTCACATTTCAACATCGCCCTTTAAACTTGTTTCATCACTCCAAGAGCCTTCCTTAGCTTTTGAAAAAGCTCAATCTTCAACGGCTTGGTGAAAATATCTGCACTTTGGTCTTGTGACTTCACGTGCTCAAGCTCCATAACTTTATTAGATATGCAATCTCTAATAAAGTGATACCTAGTATCAATATGTGTCACGATCCCAAATTTTCCACCGTAGGATGTCGTGATGCCACCTAGTCTCTAAGACTAGGTAAGCCTAACAAACATGCGAAACTGAATGAAAACAATAATCTAAAATCTCAACAACATATATATAAAGGAAAATCTCTACAGCTCAAAGTATATACAATAGCCCAAAACCCGGCGTAATACAAGTCACAAGCTCTATGACAATGCCAAATCATTCATATACAACTGTGTCTAATAAGGAAAATATAAAAAAGGGATAGAAGGGGACTCCGAGTCTTACGGACGCGGGCAGGTGTACCTTGAAGTCTCCAAATGCAAGCTCAGCGCACTAGTGTCGGAACTGATAAGATGTACCTAGATTTGCACAAAAAGATGTACAAAAGCGTAGTATGAGTATACCACAACGGTACCCAATAAGTGCAAGCCTAACCTCGGTAGAGTAGTGACGATGTCAGGTCAAGGCCCTACTGGAGATAATAAAAAATGAGACGAAAGATATAATGATATACTGATAATGAGAATGGAAATGAAACAGTAAGGAAATTTACCAGAAATTAACAACACAGAATCAAGGCAGTAATACAACACGTAAGGAAACAAGGATTTACACCTTAAGGAAACAAAATAACCAAAACAAATACAGCAAATAGAGAAATATCAACAAGGGCCACTACCGAGGTACCGCCTCGTAGTCCCAAATCATAAAAGTAACTCACAGTCTTTTCTTATATCACCGCGGGAGCCTTTACATTTAGTTTTAAAAATTATTTTTCCCGAAATAGCATACGTTTTAGCCCATCTTATCACACTGCATGGCTTCTAGTAGTTCTCCTACTAGCCACGCGTATCGAGCCCACCTTATCTCACCGCATGCGTTTCAACACCCAGACCTTATACCACCGCATGCGTATCAATATCACAACGTATCACAATTCGCACCTCAAGTGCCCAATATCACAACTTTCCAGAAAAGCCAAATAATAATAGAATTTTATAATAAGGAGCCCACGGCTCAACCATAATGTACATAAAGTCTCAACAATAACAACCGGAGAGTAACTCAATAAAATGATATTTCACAACTTACACTTTGCTTTAATAGGAACCACGGCCTTTGCAACTCAATACCAAATTCAACATCAAGCTATTCCAAGAATACAATTTCAAGTAAAGAATTCAACAGTTAAATAATGAATACGGAATAAAAAAACAAGTATTTCAACTAAACATGTAGGACAATTTGCAAATAAGGGATAAGACAAGTAGACATGTGAAATTAGACTAAATATGATGTCCATAACATGTTAAGTAACTCAATTAAAGCATGAAAGGAAACTACATAGCTAACAACCGGAAATTTCTTTAGCCCGTGTACGCACTAGTCACCTTACATACACAGCTTTCACATATCACAATTATCACAATAATACTAAATTCTAAGGAGAATTTCCCTCACACAAGGTTAGACAACTCACTTACCTCAAACCACGCTAAATCAGTCAAATAGAAGGTCATTCCCTCGATTTTTCAACTCCGAACGGCTCGAATCTAGCCAAAATAATTTCATACTATAAATATAACTATAAGAAACTAATGTAAACAATGAAATTACGATCTTTGCAATGCATTGAAAAATCGTCCCAAACGGTCAATCCGGACCCGCGTATCGAAACCCAAACAAAATTAAAAAATCTAAATACCTATTCGATATTGAGTCTAACCATACATGAATTATTCAAATTCGACCTCAATTCGCCTTTCAAAACTCAAAAAATTAGCCTAAGAAGTTTCTACCAATTTTTCCTAATTTCCAACTCAAAAGCAATAATTAAATGATGAAATTATCAATATATTCGTGTGAATTAATCAAAAACGAGTTAGAATTCCTTACCCCATAGTTCTCTCTGAAAATCCCTCCAAATTTCACCTCAAACTGAGCTCTCTAAGTCCCAAAATGAATTATGAATCAAACCCTCGAATTTTTCCCTTTTCTGCCCAGTTAAGACGCATTTGCGACCTTACTGCCGCATCTGTAGAATTTCCATCGCATGTGCGGCCATGACTTACTCCTCACTCTCCTCTTTTGTGAGCAAAGGACCGCACCTGCGTGTGCGCGCCTGCGACGAAAAGTGTCGCACATGCGACCACTGTCACCCCTGCGTTTTTCACCATCGCAGAAGCGAAGCCGGTTCTGCGGAACATTTTTCGCTCCAGCGCCCCCAACTGGGCATGCCCAGCTCCGCATCTGCAACCAAGTGCTCGCTTTTGCGAGCCCACACCTGCGTCCAATCTCTCCGCAGGTGCGAAGATAGCAGAAGCTGCCAACCTTCAGCAAAATTCAGCAAGTCCAAATTGTTCCAAATTCGATCTGAATCACACCCGGAACCTCCGGGACCCCATCTGAATATACCAACTAGTTCCAAAATACATAACGGACCTACTCGAGGCCAAAAATCACATCAAATAACATAAATCCTAGGAATCACATTCCAAATTCAAGCTTAAGAAATTATGAACTTTCGAATTCTGAAATCGGTGCCGAATCATACCAAAACTACTCCGATTGAACTCAAATTTTGCATACAAGTCATAAATGACATTACGGACCTATTCCAACTACCGTAATCAGATTCTGATCCCGATATCAATAAAGTCAACTCCCGGTCAAACTTTTCAAAATCCTCCAACTTTTGCCAAAAATTGCCGAAACGACCTACGGACCTCCAAATCAACATACGGACACGCTCCTAAGCCTAAAATTACCATACAGAGCTATCAAAACCATCAAAACTCCATTCCAGAGTCATCTTCACACAAGTCAAATTACGGTCAACTCCTACGACTTAACCTTCCAACTTAGGGACTATGTGTCCCATTTCACTCCGAACCTCAACTGAAACCAAAACCAACCACCCCAGCAAGTTACATAATCACAATATAGCATAGAGGAAGCATAATTTAGGGGAAAACTAGAATACTCAAAATGACCGGCTGGATCGTTACATGGTCCACCTCCTAAAACAAACGTTCGTACTCGAACGAGTATAGAGACATACCTGAAGTGGTGAAAAGATGAGGATAACGGCTACGCATATCATGCTCGATCTCCCAAGTCGCCTCCTCGACTGGCTGACCCCTCTACTGAACCTTCACTAAAGAAATGTTTTTCGACCTCAACTTTCAAATCTGCATGTCCAAATGGCCACCGGCTCCTTAACATAAGACAAATCCTTGTCCAACTGGACTGAGCTGAAATCTAACACATGAGACGGATTGCCGTGATACTTCCGGAGCATAGAAACATAGAATACTAGATGAGCTGCAGCTAGACTGAGTGGTAGTGCAAGTATCTAAGCCCACCTCTCCAATCCTCTCAAGAATCTCTAAGGGTCCGATATACCTAGGGCTCAGCTTGACCTTCTTCCCGAACCTCATAACACCCTTCATGGGCGAAACCCGGAGCAAGACCCGCTCCCCAACCATGAATGCAATGTCGCGAACCTTCTGATCCACATAATTATTCTATTTGGATTGGGCTGTACGAAGTCGATCTTGAATCAACTTAACCTTTTCCAAAGCATCCTCAACCAAGTCTGTACCCAATAGCCTAGCCTCACCCGGCTCGAACCAACCCACCGGAGACCGGAACCGCCTACCATACAAAGCCTCATACGGAGCCATCTGAATGCTCGACTGGTAACTGTTGTTGTAGGCAAACTCCGCAAGAGGCAAGAACTGATCCCAAGAATCTCCGAACTCCATCACACACGCACGAAGCATATCCTCCAATATTTGAATAGTGCACTCAGACTGTCCATCCGTCTGAGGGTGAAACGTTGTACTCAACTCCACCCGCATGCCTAACTCATGTTGTACGGCCCTCCAGAACCGCGCTGTAAACTGCATACCCCGGATAGAGATGATGGATATCTGCATGCTATAAAGCCTGACAATCTCATAAATGTAGACCAGAGCCAGCTGCTCTGAAGAATAAGTAGTCACCACTGGAATAAAATGAGCTGACTTGGTCAATCTATCCACAATCACCCATACAGCATCGAACTTCCTCCGAGTCCATGGGAGCCCAACAACAAAATCCATAGTGATCTGCTCTCATTTCCACTCAGGAATCTCTAGCCTCTAAAGCAATCCACCTGGCTGCTGATGCTCATACTTCACCTGCTGACAGTTTAGGCACCGAGCTACATATTCCACTATGTCCTTCTTCATCTGCCTCCACCAATAGTGCTGCCTCAAGTCCTGATACATCTTGGCAGCACCCGGATGAATGGAGTATCACAAACTGTGAGCCTCCTAGAGAATCAACTCACGCTAGCCATCTACAT